ACGTAACTATGGCCTATGGGTGGATGAATGAAAATGGCTAGCGTCGGCGGCTAAAATATAGGTTAATTTATTGAAATAATTTTTAATTTTGTACGTAAATAGAAATCACTTATTTTATTAAAAAGATATTTTAAATTATAGTAAATATTTATAATTATATACATAAATTATACATATAATTAAGACATTTTCTTATAATTATTACATAAAAAATCAACCATTTAGATCATACAAGGACCATACAAGTAAAATGCCACAAGCTCGTTTAAAAAATTCGAAGAGAAATATCGATACGAATAGATCTGACTGCATTGACAAATGAACTACAACATGAAATAAAACTACTGAAAGACCACCGACAATCGTAAATCAAAGTTGAACTTCGTGAAACATCCCTAAACGCAAACAGTATATCTAAATCTAATCCGAAAGTCTAAAGTAAGAAAGATCAATATGATAACAAATAAGCGCTACCTTGATCAGTTGAGGCAATGTCAAATTTGATCATGAGAAAATTAAACGAAAGGAACGACCAAATAACTTATAGAAAGAACCGCAAATGACCTAATTTGCAAGTTTACTAACAAAACTAAATTTTATTATATTTTTTATTTTAAATTTAATTATTAAAATAACAGCCAAACGTAGTATTAATCAGATAAAAAATCGTCCAAATATGTTACAATTCTTTACTCTGATTGGCTGGAGAAGAAAGGCACAAATTACTATCCGTGGCTTTTATCCAAAAATTTAAAATATTTAAGAAGAATCAACCGTGGTTCATGTAGGCATGCATGAGACCTCAACAACGATCCCATTGACATTTAAATGTAAACATTAAGTAGTAACAAAGTTCTATATATTTCAAACATACTACTACTACATTGACTCAACCTACATACATACAATGGCAGTAAAAAAATTGCAGAAACTCTTAAACATAATCCAAACCCAGACCCAAAAATAAAAATGAAAAAAAAGTGGGTGGCATTTTGGTGATTTGGATCGATCAACATAAGGCAGAGGCATCTTCCTCAATTATTCCGATCATGTGGTGAACTGCCCTTGCTATGTCATCTACTGAACTGAGTTGGCATCCTTCTTCAACCTGCATTCAGAATGTATCGAATTTTAGCCCAAAACTCCATGGTTTTCTTCAATTATACATGAAGATAAAATAACTAAGCAGGGTTGGTCTAAAATTACGGAAAATGACATTTTGCCATTTCAAGGAGAAAAAACGAAAGTATACGAGAGGAAAAGACAGTATCTGTACATTCCCCCATATGACAATAATTGAAGATGTCCATCTCTTTGTATTCGTAGGATGTCTGAAGAAAACCATACTATATGGCAATACTAATAACAAAACATATGGTTGCTAATTGCTATTATACCTTGGCGCTGATGGAATAGAGAACTAATGGATCCATGGTGGTGACATTGAGGTGGAGGATGGACAGGTAAAGTGAATGGAAACCTGCAACAAGCTTGGAAAGTTGCGTGGGACCTCTTCGTGAGAGGATTCGAAGATTGGCATGAGTTTCGATCAATGTCACCTCAATATCCGCCGTTGATGCCTTTGTCTTTGATGTGTACCTGTTAGGGATCTGAGACCAGGTGTACTGAGGATGCATGAAAAACTGTGAAAATGGTGGTGACGACAACAGTTTGGTGTTGGTGTTGGTGGTTTCTTCTTCATTGGCAGCTTCTAGTCTTACTTGTTGCAGTACCCGAAGCTTTTCAGCTTCAAGGGTTTGCAGAAGATGCTCAAGCTCCTTCATAAACTCTATGGCACCACCAACTATGGATGCTTGATCACCCTACACATGCAGAAAATAGTCTCATTTATGTTAAACAAAGGCAAAAAACTCATTTTTGCAGAATCCTTGATATTACCATTTACCATAATATAGAGCGACAGTTTTTTTTTCTTGTATGATCTCAGCTTTTGCACGACTAGCAAACAAAAGAAAATCCAATAGAAAAGAAGGCGGCAATAATAGATTTCTTTTAAAAATTTGCCAATTCTAGTTGAAACTTTTTACCCTTGACAAGCTCTGATAGATTTTGCAGCAACATGTTGCTGAACTATTATTCAACCTTTTTCTTTTTGGTCTGAAGTCTGAACTATTATAATTCAATTTTAGACTTCAATCAGTCGGATTCAACAATCCATGAACTAACTATGCATGTTTGAATAATCCAAAGATTAAAAGATGAAATGAAAAGAAGAAGACGATACCCTTTGGACATAAGATTCAGGCATGAGCGAGCGTAGAACAGCCAGATGCTCATTCATTTGTTTTCGCCTGTTTCTCTCAACAGCAATGTGAGTCATTCTTTGAGTCTCAGTCTCTTCTTTGTTCTTACAAACCCTTGGCTTTCTCCTCCTCTTTTTCCTCCCTTGAACCGCCAGGTTTGTCCTCCGCTCCGCTGCTGTCGAGCGGCTGCATTGTGGAGGAAGAGTCGCCACCATTGGAGAGCAATTCAAAGCGGTACTTCTAGCTTGTTCTTGGGAAGTGAGACTATTTTCCATTAAAAAAGTGGTGACGAAAGAGTTATTGCTGCTGTATGGGGTTGCAGATATAGTATCATAGATAACGAAGTTCAAGAGCTCATTGGAAGAAAGGGTTTCAAGCGTCATTTCTGTAAAATCTGCAGAAGCACAAACAATATGAACTGCAATTCTAGTTTCTCCAAGAGACAAAATTTGAGAGAGAGAGAGAGAACGCGAGAGGTTAAAATGAAGATGGTTTTTGGTTTTTTAAGGGCAAATTTATTTATATTCAAGAGGTTAAAATGAGAGATACGGTACACGTGAAAGGGGCAAGAAAGAAACTCAAAACTCTAAACCCTGTTTTAGATTTTGGGTTTGTCTTCACGATTCTCATAGATGCTGACAACACTGGCAAAGCCTCTGGCAGTGGAGAGAGTGTGCTGGTGGGGGGACCCAAATCTATATAGAAATATGCATACCAACAACACAAAAACCAGCTGGTTAAAAGCTACTCTTCATTTCAACATTCAAATCTGTGTTGAATGGACTGGCTCAAGCACTCACTCTAGATTCTCTCACACACATTATATATTTTTTACATACTTATCATGTGCTTGACAAATGACAACCCATTAGTTTACTTGTTTGATTTCATGGAAATTGGGTTTTACCTAGGCTGTTTATCATTCGACTTGCCAATGATCGGAAACATGCAAGAAAATACATATGGAAATGTGAGAATCTGCAGAGTACTGAAAAAACCCATGATGCATAGGCTTAGGTTAAAAAAAGACGTGTTTTTTAAAAGCATTTTAATGAACCATCATCACCACCCCCAACCAAACCGTGATGTCAATTATCGACACGGCAGCTTTTGATGCAAGTGATCAGAAATCCATGAAATGGAAGCTGCACAATGGACTAGCCATTTAGCCTCCCGTGCATATCCCTTCCCCCTCGATCTCTGTTCATGCACCAGCAAATCCTCTCTGCTATTGCAATGATCGTCATAACCACCAAATTATACATGTATCTATACTAATGCATATATACGAATATCCATCAAGTGAAGCATTGAAAGAAAAGTGCCGACAGACATATGTAATCACTTTTTGCTCATGATGTGCTGAAATTTTACTTATTACAGAATGTCAATCATTGATTAGTCTAGGTGGAATTGCTACTTTGCATCAAACATCAAAACAAGATGATCAAAGTGATATCAACACATTAGCAGAACATGAAAGCAATAAAGTGGTGCTTATTTTCAATCAAAACCCAGTTTTAATCTTCAATTTTCCAACCAAAACAATAATGTTTTTCATGTATAACTTGGCCACAGAGGGATGTGCGCTTAAGTACCGGTGAAGAGGACTGATGGAGGTGGACCAGTCATGGACCAATTTTGTCAGACACATTGCAGGGTAATCCATGTGACCGTCAGCTTACTATACTTAAAAAGTAGTACAAAAGTTCTGCAGTCTTCCATAATCTAATCTCTTACCTTTTCCCTTTTTTCTGCTTTTACCTCTCGTAATTCATACTGATTGGGCTAAGCTTTGCCTAGCTTTCCTCTCTGCTAGTCTTTTAGTTCTTTTATATAAATATATGACCATGTCTACACTCTACACCTCAAATACTCCAATAATTTGTACGATTACCAATAGACATCTATATACTAAAGCTACGAAATGTGTTAAATGATATATACATATGCATGCATGTGCATGATCATGGTCATGCTCGATATTTTCTTACATGCTTTGAAGCCTTAATGCCTATCTAATGTCACCATTGCCTGGTTTGAAAACGATGATGTTATACATAAGTTGAATTTGAAAATTATTCTCTTACTTTTTGGCTTTTTCTTTTTCTATTTTTGCCTTTTGTGGCCCATCAATCGTAACACCAAGCATCTTTGTAAGCATTTACAGTTCACCTATGGTGGATGGTATGGCCATACATAGAAAATTTTTGTTTTTTGTTTTGGTCATACATAGAAATTTCAGTGCTTTTGAAAATGCCTTACCAGCGTTAGACAGGCAAGTCGTGTAACAGGAAATTTGTATACTTGATGTAAAATTTTACTCCATGGTAACCTCAAAAAATTACCTCTGTTTGTGTGAACTGTAAATAAAAGTATGAAAAACCTCCTGTTATTAAGTTGCTATATTTGTTGTAATCATTTCACCATGGAGCATATCTCAATAGACGGTAACAGTGAAATGCTGGCACTTGCTGAAACTGCTGAAAGGCACCACACACTGCTTGATAAAGGCAAATGCAGATACGAAATCCTGCAACTTTGTTTGGAACATACACATTTTATGACTGAATTGAATTGATTCCAGTTCACTCAATCTTATCTCTAATTATCGGTTCAAGGAAGGTATATATGTATGTATAGATATCAGAATTTCCTAACATAATGTCACGCAATGCTTGTAGTAATTCATATCAGAATTTCCTAAGACAATGTCAAGATCACAGTGCTTTTTTTTTCTTTTATCCAAGTTGATCTCCTCGGCGAGTCTCCGATGCTTCACTGGAACCGCTGTTCCTGTCGTTCAACGGGTTCGTGAATTCACCAAAGACAATACAACTTTTTACAGCGTGGTGTCCACTAGCAAGTTTTATTTTGACTTCGTCAGGTAATCGAAGAGTGTATCTATCATCTTCTCTATTCCTACCTATGGAATGCCCCGTGGAATGTGACCTTGAAAATTTTTCCATCCTTTCACGTCTCCTAAATTGTTCTTCACTTGTACTTGAAGCGGCTTCTGGTTCGTCTTCTGTTCTGTCGACTTTGTTGTCGTTATCATCTTTAATGTTGATACAAACGGAATCTTCTACTGAACTTTGATTTGTTACCATTTCACGCATGGAATTGCTACGAACAAATAGAGGGGATTTCTCGAATGATTTCCTTGGCACATCTAATTCCCCACGACAAACTGGACAAGTTTTGTGTGATTCTAGCCAAAGATCAACACACCCTTTATGGAAAACATGACAACAAATCGTCAAAAGTCGAAGCATATCGTCGTCGTTGAACTCTTCCAAACAAATCGCACATTCTAGGCCATACTTTTCGCTTCGGAACTCTTTGACAGTGGAATAATAGAATGTTGGAAAAGTCTGTATTAGTTCAGGATCAAGGCCGTTATTCATGATTTCACCTGCCGTGGAAGCAATATTGACAGGAGGTGAAGGGCTATGCCGATTATGCCATAGGCGTAGAAGAATTTCCACCATACATCTACAAAAGTATAATGTTAAGAAACCGAAGAAGAACGAAACGAGGAAAATTACAGCTATTGTTATTGGAGGTGGCAAGTTGAAGTCTGGTGAGGAGAAAGGTTTGGCATAACCGGAAGACGGTGACAGAGAAATAAAAAGGGCAGCAATGACCGGAATGTAGATCGCTCCGGCATCGTAAATTTTCATCGACGAGTGAAAAAAAGATTTTTTTTTTGTTGCGGAGAAAGAAGAGAATAACAAGGCAGCATGTCAATGTGTCAATATGAAAGCTAATGCTTGGTAAGCATTATATTTATGGCTATTGAGCGAGTCCTTTGTGTGACTTACTCTGTTTACTATTATTGATTATTCAAACCACAACATTCCGTATTTAGTATTTGGTTACGGACAGTACTCTTGTTCTGGTTCTGGTTCAAGCCAAGTACCGAAGTATCATTTCTAAACTTGCTTTTAGTACTAATCCATCTAATTAGCTGGCTAATCCTAGTAATTACGAAGATTTTAACTTGAAATTTTCTTTTATTAGAGAGGCCATGGCTGCAAATTAGCTTGTAGTTATGATAAATTTCGCATAATGGATATAAAGTTTTTTTTTTTCAGATTAAAAAGAGACATTTAATTCATATTTGATAAGGGCAAAGTCTACAGCAGTCGCACAAGCTTCATATCCTCAGCCAGGGAGGAAATATTCATACATAAAAATTATGCAGCCGAGATGTGAATAAGCTGAAGGGTACATGACACAAACTGTCCTAGGAATATCTAAAATTATTCACTTTCCCAGGAAAAGTTTCTTAGTGGAAGGAATTTCAGCTCTCAGCTCTCGTTTCCTTTTTTGTTTTTCTCGGCTCTTGAAAGAACGGTGTTTATTCAATATCATCGATCCAGTCTCCGTATATCCGACTAATTTTATCCGGACCTTTCCATTTGTGGAGAGTTCTCTGTCCTGGTTTCTGGAGTACGATAGATGTCCACTGTGAAGTAACTCCGAGATGATAAACATCTGAATGTGAAACTGAAGGGATTAATGCAGCCATAGTATCTGTTGGAGTCTTTGAAGGAACTCCTCCTACCACTTGATTTGAATCAGAAGGGGCAGCAGAAGAATCCTTAACCTCTGTATCTGCAACGGACCCTCTGTATCGGTGTAACTCTGCATTCACACAAAAAAACATATATCCCTATAGCAAAAGGAGACCAAAATCCATATAAACCTTATTTCTATCAAATAAAATAAACAGAAGATGCCCGCAACTAGAATAAAAACTACAAATAAACAACAAAAACATCTATCAGGTTAGCTACTCATCAATGGAGCACAGGCTTTAAGTTAAATTTAAAAGTAGAAGTGCGACCAAGGTTCTCGAATTTCAAAGGCACGGTAATAACAAGGCTACAAGCATATGCCTACAGTAAGTACTAAGTTCATGATTCTCACTTAACAAGTGCATACCACCATGATAACAGTCCAACATCAACTAGCATTCAATGTGCTTGATACTCATTGATAAAAAAGTATGGCTGCCATCCAGGAAAAAGTAAAATCGTACTGGTTTTAAATTCGAATTCTAGCCACTTCAAAACAAAAGCAACAGAGAAGCATGCTCACCAAGCAGAATTCTAGCATACCCGAGGGAACTGAAAATTAATGGTACTTGTCCTTAAATAGGAGCTTTTCAGCTGACAAGTTACAGCCATAAATGATTTCCATAATCTAAACCGAAAGGGGATTAAAAGAAAGTAAAATCGATTACTCAATCAATCAATGAATAAACCATACCTGCAGTTCCATGTGCAAAATGACATTTATTTCCAAATGGGCAGTAACCAGTAAGTTCCCACTTATTACAAATCCTGGTCTTCCAATTAGAAGGCTTAACATTCGAAACATTCCCGCCACCGCCACCGCCACTAGCAGCACCTCCTCCTCCCCCACCACCACTACTGAACCCTCCAGGTCCTAAACTTATAGCTACACTCTCTCGATTCTTCGATTGCTCATCATGCAAAAACGTGCAACTATCACCATAAGGACACCCTTCCTCTGTGTAAAACTTTTTGCAATGCCTTCCCTTGTACGACCTCTGCGTTTCCCCTGGAAAAATATTAGACCCCAAAGAAGGAATCTGGAATTCTTCTCTTGGCTCTGACGAAATCCCTTTCTCTTCTTCATGAGCAGCCACTATTTCTTGCCAATTAGGAGGAGGGCGTCGGAGCTCCTCAATGCTATGAGCGAAGTTACAATTTGTAACGTAGGGGCAAGTACCGGCTCTGAACTTGCAACAAAGCTTGGTCTTGAAAAACATTTTGCCTATGGCTTTGGACCTGGAATTTAAATCCTGGGAATTTCTTGGTTTCTTGTTCGGTGGCAGCTCGGAATTGGACCATGATTGAGGTTGTCTTCGGTCGTAGCTGGAGTTTGTGGATGTTTCTTCGTTGTTCCAAGCACGGTAATCTTCTTCCGTTGCCCAAACTGAAGGGTCTGTCGAATTTGGAACCCAATTATCGGGTCCATTTGTGGGAATCACATGAACTACATTTTCTCTACCGTAATCCATGTTATTTAAGGATGATCAAAAAGGAACTTTTTTTTTATTTTAAAAAAAGCCCTAATTTTAATAAGAAAACGTGGAGTAGATGTACCCAGAAGCTAAAATTACATCGATTGGATTAAACTGAAGTTAAAATGTGAGATTTTAATGATTTGAGAAATTGGTATCCGGTTACACATCCGAAGATACTAAAATCTACATAAAATTTCCAACTTTTTTTCATGGAATATAAGAAGAAGAATGGAAACAGCTGCAATAGATCAAACAAGAACAGAAATAAAGGGAAAGGGGAAAGTCAGACGAAAGAATCGGAGATAGATCTACAACATTAAAAATATGATGAAGACAATGAAGGTGTAAAAACTGAAGTATTATCTTTTTATGTATGAAATAGAAGATTAGAGACACCCTCTGCAAGCAGAGTCTGAAGGAGAGGTAAACTCATAAAGAAACCATGCGTAAACTCGTCGCTTTTGTCTTTTTTCCTCTCATTTTACCTTCTTATCTCAATTTTTTTCTATGTTAAAAGGAGGATTTAGGGTAAACTATGCGAATAGTCCATTTTATTTAGGGTTTCTCTGACTTTGATCACTAATTTAAAATTAAGGGTAAATTGTCCCTAACACTATTGATTTGTCTAGTTTAAGTCCCTCCGCCATTAACTCTTAAAGAATATGTTACATAACTGAGGGATCAAAATCGAACGAGAGTTAATTGCTGAGGGACTAAAATCGAATGAATCAGTAATGTTAGGGATTAAAATCGAATAGATCAATAACGTTAGGATCATGTATCCTTCATTTTTAAATTGATAACCAAATAATATCTTAAAATAAAAGAGACTATTCACATAGTTTATCCTTATATTTTACTACACTAACATTTTAGTTTCCAAATTTCATAAATGTGCTTAAATAATTGTAAGTATAAATTGATGTATTTATTAATACAAATAAGTAATGATTACTTTTTAGGGGGAAAAAGCTAGTCTTTTTTTATTGCTTTTTATTAAAGATAAATATTTGAAAACAAATTTATTTTATATAATTTATTTATTTTAATATCTTAAAGTTAAAATCTTACATTATCTCTGTATAGACAAGTAAACGAACCGACGCACACGAACGGAGGTATGTTCATGTTCGTTCATTTAATAAATAAACGAACATAAACGAACACGAACATAAACGAACAAATTTTTTTGTTCATGTTCGTTTATTAAGGAATATAATTTGTTCATGTTCGTTCATTTAATAAATAAACGAATACGAACATAAACGAACACGAACATAAATGAACACGAACATAAACGTTGGAGACCCTACCTTCCATTGTTCTTTCATGAAAAATAGTCGACAATGCAAATCAACCAATTCTACAATGATAAATAGTGTAAGAGCTTATTAGCAGTGATGAAATGTTTGAAGATATCAAATATTTTGATCGATCTTTTAAAGATATTAAATGATTTGCACGACTTTAATTTAACGCTATAACATTTATCTTAGTGGTCCATGATTACATATGAACAATCATTTTCCACTACGTTATTCTAATAAATTCGTCGGCTAAAAGTTTTGTGACATCAATATCAGACTTTAGTGATGTTTGTTAATAATGGTCCTTTCGTTGGCAGAGTAGAAAATTTAACATCATAAAGATTTCGAACGGTAGAAATTGAACTACAAGGCAATCACATAGATCCGAAATCCATTCGATGTTACATATTGTAACTGATATTATTGTTAAACCACCATTTAAAATTTTAACGTACCTAAAGTATACTCCACAACTAAGGTCACACAAGAACTATGAAAACAAAAGTTCATTATCAAAGTGTATTTTCTACTTATTAATAAGTTCTTCTTGAAAAACCCATTACTTCCGCTATTACACTCTTTTTCAGAAATTGCATAGAAACCTTTGTTTTGTTTTCTGACAAATTCTATATATTTTTTTCTTTAATGATGCTCATATACTTCCGATTATTACGTTTATATTCTCATCTATTTCTAGAAAGAAGTATGATGTTTTCTTGAGTTTTAGATATGAAGATACTCGCAATAACTTTACATATCAACTATTAAGTCAAATAAAACAAAGAAAGAGATGAAAACAGACATGTAAAAATTCAGATTGCACTATAATATAACTTGTTTTGAAGCTTTCAGAGATTGTCTCCACTCTCCAGTGAACACTAGGGTTTGGGAAAAAAAGGGAGAAAATGAATATAGGTGCGAAGTGCCTCACGGGTTAACATATTGGATTTAATCTCCAAATAAAATTGGATTAATTATGGAGTTGGTCATCAGAATATCAGATTAATTAATATTTTTAAGATACTTACAAATTGATCATCAAAATTGATTTAAGAAGATTGGGTTAGACATAAATGAATGAACATAAACGAACATAACCAAACGAACATAAACGAACATAACCTAACGTTCACGAACGTAAATGAACGAACAAGACCTATGTTCATGTTCGTTCGTTTAATTAAACGAACACAAAATCTTGTACATGTTCATTTATTTAATAAATAAACATACATAAACGAACTTCCCGCCGCATGGTTCATGAACGGTTCGCTAAACGTTCAGTTCATTTACAGGCCTATCTCTATATTCTAAATTTTAAATTTAAACCCTAATTTATTACACTCTAAATAAAATCTCTAAACTTTAAAATAGACAATTTATAAATCATATAATTTATCTTTTATTGGTAGTTGAAAGGATATATTTATAGGATGTTCATAATTTATATATCGTGTAATGAGTGTGCAGAAGCAGTTGAGACAATCGAACATGTTCTACGGAAGTGTAGATTAGCGCAGGATGTTTGGAGAGAGCTGGAAGCCCATCGCTTTGATAACCAATTCAGATCTAGAGATATGAAAAGCTGGATGTAGAGGAACAGTCGATCGTGTGGTGAAACGGAGGATGAGATAGAATGGGGCATGTTGTTCATGACGACAGTCTGGGGTCTATGGAGGGGTAGAAACGACAAGATTTTATCGAACAAGAGAATAGAACGGATCAATTGATTTCTTACGCCCGGAAGTTGGCTAGAGATACCAAGCTAGCTTACACGGCTACTCACAGAACGATAACGAATGAGCCACGATGGATAAAATGGATGAAACCACCGAAAGGGTCATGGATTCTGAATACTGGTGGGGTGGGGCTTATAAGGCAACGTCAGGCTTAGCGACAGCAGGGGGTCTTATCCGGGATGAAAACGGAGTGTGGTTATGAGGTTTCATGTTACGTATAGGGCAAACGAACAACGCAACAACGGAACTTGGAGCGCACGTCAGGGATTGATTTTAACCAAGTCCCTTAGAGCAAATAACCTAATCGTTGAGATGGATGCTAAGTGGGTAGTCGACCTTTTGAAGGATGGCCAGACAGATGATCAACAAACCGACACGTTAAGAAGGGATTGGCAGGAACTCCCATTGGAAGGCTGGGTGAGTGATTTGGCGCGAAGGAAATAGGTGTGCGGATCAGTTGGTCAATATGGCATTTGGGGATGTTTGGATTAAGGAACGTGAGATTCCTATGTAATATAATCCATATTTTCATGTTTAGTTGGTCGGAAATTTTATTACCGATAATGTTTTATTATCAATAGTATATTTTTTTGGGTATATTACCGGGAATGACATTACCTCTATTTCTTTATGTATTATTAGATTACTGGCGTTTTGGATTAAAATATTCTTAAAATTATTTTTTTAAATATTCTTATTCTGTCATTGAATAATAGAAATTCTATAAAGGTTAAATTACAAATTTATCTTTAAATTATTTTAAATTTATAAAAAATTCTATAATTAAAATATCATATAAAATTCAATAATTAAAATAAAATTTTACATTTTCATTAAATCTTTTTATGTAATCAAAAATTATATATATATATATATATATATATAAATTTTATGAATTTAAATTTTTGAAAGAAAATATATAAATATTTTTTAATTTGTTAAAAAAATAAATATATAATAAGGACAATTTGATCTAATATACATTTTAATAATATTTTATTCTTTTAACCAAACACGATAATCTTACATTCCCGTTAAACCAACCAAACACAAAATACAACATTCCTAGTAATCATATTCCCTGATAATCTTACATTTTCACTAATATTATTACATTCTGTGAACCAAACGCACATTTAACTAGAAGGAAGAGTTCATCAGCCTGCCCACCCCACCATCAGCCTGCCTACCCCACCTGCAGAGCTGACTCACTTGTTAGAAGCTGACACCAAAGGCGTTGACGTGTTGATGATGTAATTAGGGTTGTAAATGAGATGAGACAGATCGTGAGTTATTCGGGATCGACTCGATCAAGGCTCGATAAATACTCGGATCGAATGGACTCGACTTGATTTCTTAACGAGCCAAAACGACTTACTCGATACTCGACTCGAAAAGCTCGTGAGCAGCTCGAAAATATAATATATTAAGATTTTATTTTTTTTAAAAATTATTAATAGTATTAATATTTATATATTGATTTTTTTTTAAAAATACAGTAAGATTTCATATATTTAAAATTTATATTTGAGTTTGAGGCTTCAATCGAGTTAAGTTTAAGAATTTTTTTTTATTTCGAGCCTTTTCGAGCTACTCTCGAGCTTCAGTTCAGGATTTCGAGTTTGAGTCGAGCTTGAAAATTTTAACCTTGCGAGTTTTCGAGTCGAACTCCATTTCAGAGTTTTCGAGTCGAGTCGAGCTCAGTAATACTCAAACTTGACTCGGCTCATTTACACCCCTATTTGTAACAATTGTTGTACCAACTATATATATATATATATATATAGGAGAATAAAGAACATAAAAGAATAATTGAATCTCTATTACTTAAAGAACTAAAGCATAAACATCTTTTAATTAAAAAAATTATTAATTTATGAAGAAAATAAAGCATACAATTTGTTTTATAAATCTAGAATAATTATAAATATTAATATCTATTTTAAAAATTTTAAACTATTTAACAATAAATATTTCAAATAAGTATAATTGTTACTCCTAGAACCCAAAATAAAATAAAGTTATAAAGTGTTTCAGTAAAATAAATTTCTTTCAAACCTATACATTAAGACTATGAGGTCAGAAATAAGTTTTGCAGTAAATGATATGGCCGAGGAATTCAATATTTGAAAAATCTTGAATTTTAATATTAGATTAACTCCCATCATTTTAAATTCACACGGAACTTGATTCTATGAAGTTTATGAGTATTAA